AGGTCAAGCTACATCGTTAGAAAAGAAGGGGTCACAGACCAGTGTCTGGCGGCTCACGCAAATGCCCGAGTGACTCTGACTATATATTGATAGTGATTTCTTGACCGAAACGCTGTTTCTAGTCACACCAATCTGTAACCCCCGAAGGCGAGCAAACGCTGTTCCATTATTGTCTACACTCATCTCTTGTCACTCCCTTTATGGTTCACTCATCAGCGTTGCATAATTTCGCTTCCGAACTGACCAAAATAAAAAAGTCAAAGACGGAGAATGCTGTACAGTGACTTTCGCTCCGGGTGGTGCTGCGACAAGCCAATTTTACGCGACGCTTTCCCAATAAACAAATTACTTCTCCGTGTAACATTAAGTGGTATTTTCAGTTCTCAAGAAAGCTGAGCGTATACCATCAGCCTATATACGGCCTTGAGCGAAGTTTGAGTGCTGCTTATTTGATCTTTCAGAGGCAGCTGGAAATGAAACCGCACTCCTTGTGAGCTAACGAGAGAAACGTTAATTACCTGCTCGGCGGCTTTCATTATGCGAAGATGATGTTATTTTTATGCTTTTGCGCGCACGAGTATATTCGCGCCACTGCTCAGCGCTCGTTTAAACGCATCAATACAAAAAAAAAGAAAGGTTGGTGCCACGAGAACAACTTGCATGCTGTTTGCTTGTGGATGAATGCATTTTGAAGTGACGAAGCAGAGTATTCAAGGCACCTTAACGTGAGCCAGAAATTGAGTTGATTTTTTTGTCACCTATTCCGTGTTTCCGTATATGTGGGTTAAAAAAGATCGCTTATATCGCTCTACCTTTCCGCGCAGCATAGATCAAGTGAGCGCATCAGGAGAAAGAGTGAGTGGGTCTGTGCCCTTTGCCAAAGCCAAGATTAGTGCTGACAGTGTGAGCCCTAGAATTCACGCTTTTCGGCTACTTGTTGATATCTTTGCTTGTACGCGAAAGAGAAGCGAAATCGGCTGATCGCGCACAATAGACATGCGAGACAGTTAAGGCAGAACGGGTGTGTGGCTGGCGACAAAGCAGAGTAGAAGACAAACCACGACTTATATTCCTCGTGTATGGACCAATATAGAGTCTATACACTAAGCGCGTTGGTTCCCAGGGCAACTTTACACCTTTCAATTCGGTAATGTCATATATTCCTGTTTTAGAAACCTACATAATTTGTGGTGCGATACTTGAAGTTCAGATTAGTGTGACGCCACCTAAGAAGTGATAAGTATATTTACAAAACGTAAAGTTATGTAACTGTCATTTTACAGCATTCTGTCATACTGCAGCGTTCCTCAGGTGCATTTAAACGTTCACTTAGTTGTTAGTATAGCGAAAACAAGTAAAAAAAATTCTTTTTTGCTCTAATGCAGTTTTTTGCTTTGTTCATGCCCGCATCTAGCACAACCCGCGTCCGTGACGTCATCAAGCAGCGAGGTAGCTTTGCAGCCCGTCGTGCGCCCACATGAACGTGAAAACTGTTTCATAGACAGTACGGTGCGGTCACCCGCATCCCTCGTGCAAGTAAAAACCGTCATTGTGCTCAGCGACCTCTTTCTTTTTGGAACGATGGCTTGAGCACTGAGCATATTGGTCGCTTTTGATTAGGTTCTCTTTGTTTTAGTGACATGACGCACGACGACGCTGTGTACTGTGGCCGAAACGAGCTAGCCCCCTGTTCTCTCCCACCTATATATATATATATATATATATATATATATATATATATATATATATATATATATATATATATATATATATATGAGATATAACAGACAGTAATGCCAAGGAATGTACAGGGGAAGTTATTAGAACCAATGGAGTGTAAATAAGAAGAAAGAAGAAAGAAAAGTGGATGAAGAAATTACCAGCTGTGAGCAGGAATCGAACCCACGACCTTCGAATAACGCCTTCGAATAACGAGCATCGAACGCGTTATTCGAAGGTCGTGGGTTCGATTCCTGCTCACAGCTGGTAATTTTTTCATCCACTTTTCTTTCTTCTTTCTTCTTATTTACATTACATTGGTTCTAATAACTTCCCCTGCACATTCCTTGGCATTACTGTCTGTTATATCTCATTAATATTGTGTTAAAACACGGAAATACGAACCCTTGGGTATACACTTCTCTTCCTTATATATATATATATATATATATATATATATATATATATATATGAATATATATATATATATATATATATATATATATATATATATATATATATATATATATATATATATATATATATGACAAAAGACGCCACACAAAATTTAGGTGCTGTGCAAAATAATATATAATTTTTTCCTTATATACTATTTTAGAGGAGGGTTAAAAAAAGACGATCGAAGAGGAAAGGTGTTATTCGCGATTGCTAAAGGAGACGGAAGAAGGAAAGAAAAGATGGGAGATTACGCGTACTGGCGTCCTGTTCGCTACCCTACTCTGGAGAAGATGGATTGCGGAATAAATAGAAAAAATGAGGTCGGAAGGCGCCGTCAGGTGGAAACATGTGTGACTGACCTACAATCGATCGGCAAGCTCAGTCAATTTCACAAACCATAGGGATGCCCGCGTCGCCTACGTGCATTGTTGTAGGATATTTCGCTCTGAAACTGGTTCGTAGTTCAGTTCGTTTAAGGTAGATCGAAGAACATCACCTTCAGCGACCAAATGATGGAGGTGTCTGACATTAAAATACGAACAGATCGTATCCTTTCAGGCCAGCCACTTTTCACGAAAGGCGGCACAGTAAAGTTACGGCACGACGAAAGAGGTGTGATGGAGCTTCATCGATGGATCGAGTTTACGGGCTACACATTTCAAGACACTTGGGATCTCCGCAGAGTTTGCGTCTTTGTGTGGGCAAGTGAACGAAGGTCTTTTGCAGTATACATCCTCGACGAGAGTTTTGGACTGTCTGGAATTTCTCACGTGCGTACTGGTAGGCGCCGTCAGCGAGGTCGTTTTACCAAAGGTGCCCACAATGTCTCTAGCCTCTAAATACTCTTACTGAGACAGCTAATCCCCTGTTCACTGTGAGGTTTATTAAACTGCGCCTTTGATTAACCAGAGAGACGGCCCCAAAAAACCCGGGAAAACTGTACGCACTCGCGTGCAAGTTAAAAAAAAAAAGGAAATATGAACGGCGAATACATTCCAGAGAACGGCGGTGCGGTGGCCGCAGGCGCACGTGACCATGACGCCCAACAGTCATCCACGGCCTACATTTCGAGGGGGCTGCGAAGCGCGCGCGGTCACGTACGCTGGTCGCGGTTTCCCTTAAACACACCACCCATCTCACTTGTTGCACGAAGTGCCTCGGCGGAATCGAATATACGGTGCGGAACGAGTTCTCGCTGGGCGGTTTGCTTGGCATTTGGAGCGAAGTGATCCCTCTGTGCGCTGAGCACGGATGCCAAAGATAATGCCCGACCACGAGCCGCAAATATTCCGAAGTTCGTTGAGGGGGCAGGACGCAAGATCTTTAACAAGCGTTGTCTGTATCTCCATTTCTACTCAAGGTATGATGTGCATGTAACCGGTAAGTAATGATTGATTAGACCTTTTTTTATTATTTTAACGATTCTGGCTCCTACAGACACAGTGTAAAGCGAGAAAGAGGTAAATGTAATGCGGAAAGGCAACAAGGCTGACCTGAAGACAATTGCCCGGATTGCACCTGTGCGCTGGGGAAGGGGTTAAGAAAGACAAGAAGGCAAAGAGAAAGCTGGGAAAACGAGGGAGATGAGTACAAACATAGCTGGGTGAGAGAGCCTTAATAATGCTACAAGGCGGGTCGTTCACAGAAATCTGAGCAGCGCTTTTGTCGCTTTCTGGTGTTTGCTGGTATTTTTGAAAATGGATTGCTGAAAAAGTTGCTGGTCGACGAGGTGCACAAACTCCCTTGATAAGTACTGTCTCGGGGACAGTACAATAAAGTAGTGGCTGTAGTAATGCTTTTTATTGGTTTCGTATTTTGGTATTCACTGGATGGTTTTATTTTATGTATGGTTCAAACTTAGCTACCCGTGGACAAGTATGATCTTTACAGTGCTTCCAAAACATTTAGCTTTGGCATGCGTGATACTTAAAATAAATAAAATGAAGGAAGCTTAGAAGGTGTACAGCTATTTTTGTCTCGCTAAACGCATGCAGATATTTTAGTTCTCTATTTCTATGTTCAAGTCATTCAAAAGGATCAAGGATATGGTTGTTCTGAAATTAATGCTCGTGAAACATTTAGTCTACGAAGGCCACTCAAATAAAAAGAACAACAAACATGCCCAACCTTAATTTTCCCTAATGAAACCAGGCTAGATTGAACATAAGTTTTGATTTTGATAAAGAAAGCGGTGGGCGCATTTTGAGTGTGATCAAGCTTTCTTTCTTTCTTTCTTTCTTTCTTTCTTTCTTTCTTTCTTTCTTTCTTTCTTTCTTTCTTTCTTTTCTTTCTTTCTTTCTTCTTTCTTTCTTCTTTCTTTCTTCTTTCTTTCTTTCTTTCTTTCTTTTTTCTTTCTTTCTTTCTTTCTTTCTTTCTTTCACACACCACACACACACACACACACACACCACACACACACACACACACACACACCACACACACACACACACACACACACACACACACCCACACACACACACACACACACACACACACACACACACACACACACACACACACACACACACAAAGACTACTCTATGTAAAATATGCGGCTTAATTCTATGCCACTCTGCTAAAACTAATATTGACATAGTGGTGTTTGCTCTAACAATAGCGGGAGCGTTTATCATTGCGAAAACGGCAAGAAACATTTTCAGCGCTGGTTATCTTGACTGCAACACACAACCTCATTATTCGCCCACCAATATATTGGGTTTTCTCCTATGAACTAATATATAAAACGGCTGCAGGCTATGTGAAAACAGCATTTCTGTAAAAAGACCAAGGAATAAAAACGATAAAAAAAGTGGCAAGCTAACCTCGCGAATTTCAATCTTTCCGTCCTTGTTGTCGTCGTACGCTTCCATGAAGCACTCCTTGAGCTCTTCCAGCATGGACTCTGAGACAACCTGGAAAAGAAAAAAAATATAGAGAACGTTGAAAACAGAACATTGTTTAGAACTTTTGTGGAACAGGTTATTAGTTTGAAGATATTACTGCGTGGCAGGCTTTATCTATATATATTCAAGCAAAACTACGTAGTGTGAAGTTGAATATAGGTTCTTGAGTTTGCTTGACGGCGTTCGAGGCTATATATATATATATATATATATATATATATATATATATATATATATATATATATATATATATATATATATATATATTATATATATATATATATATATATATATATAAATATATATATTATAATATATATCTATATATATATGTGTGTGTGTGTGTGTGTGTGTGTTACGTACACATATATTATAACCAATCATGTCAACATTCATCGCCATGGAAACGACTATTACTAGGAACGATATGTAGCTCGAAAAATACATGTATGTTGAAAAATTGAACACGTAAATAGTTATGTGACAGGCTTGGATAATTTGCACATACAAAAAACATAACTTACATATTTCTCAGTTGAGCTACTTATTTTTGCACATTTTATGAAAGCTAAATAAATCTTTAGTAGGCCCAAATCGATTTAAAAGTTCACCAAATGTTTTGCCAGTAAAACTTGGTAAATGTTGGACCATTTCTTTAGTATATTGCCCAAACTGTATTTTGGCATTTACAGGTAGTTTACACGAAGTTGCAGAGATTACTTTCAAGCCATGCTGCCTCTGTTCAGATCGGTGAGAAGAGTAGTCCCTCACCAAATGTATTAGTAGGGTTATTGTTTCTCGATTGAGGGGGCACTCGTCCGAACAAGAATTATGAGGTATAGGTAAACTGGACCACTTCAGATTTTTAACTATGCAGTGACAGGTTGCGTGATAATTAGAATAAATCTTAGGCTTTATGTCCCGAAATCACGATGTGCTTATGAGACACGCCGCAGTAAAGGGCGCCGGAAATTTTGACTATCTTGTCTTTTTTAACGTGAACGGACATCACACATGTTACGTTTGCAACAGACGTTTTGAAAAGAACCAGACAAGCACCGGGTAGTGACGTTTATTGTCCCACGCTTGTGGGTTCGTGGCTCGGACAAGAAGGGCGCCTGCGCGAAGCGGCACTCTGCCTTTGACACCTATTGGCGCATGCGCAGTTCGCACAGTGCTCTCATCAATTGAGCGCCAGCAGACACAACAATACAGTTTGCGGGTTCCTACCATGGTAAGTTGTGTGAGTGGCGGGAAGTGGGTGCATTGGTCATGCTCCTGCAGCACTGCTCACATGTGCCAGCTTTATGCGTTTGCAACACTGGAGCGGCTTTTGTACAGGAGGATGAAACATACGGCGAAAACTCCTGCCTATGTGTGATGAAAGCAAGTAGCCTTTCAATATTACCTTAACACAACGCAATTTGTCAATGCGAAAAACGTGTCTAACACCACCTTCATCTGTAACTGCTTTCATAAGTACTGGCAAATCAGCGTTTGAAAAAGGAAAACCGATGTCGTAGATGATACCGGTAGCGAACTACTTGTGTAGCGTCGAGGTCAGTGACTTGGCGCAAGATGGCTAATGAGGCCATACGCACAATGTATAGAGCCAAGATGCTCCCACGGATGTTGTCCTGTATTTCATTTGGAGCCAGTGCCCCAAGGTACGCTTCATCTGTTGAGGTACGTGATCTTAAATGCGGCTTGTACTGACGCGAAAAGAATGGCGAATGACTCAATGGTTCAAGTCACCCTTGCCGCTGGTTTTATTTATTGGGATAACACGCTCAGCTTTTCTCTGTCCACGTTGCAGCTCAATGGAACTTCGAAGTTGTCGGACAATTCGTCACTGTCACAGAAGTAGACCATGGTGTTATTGGCGTCCATGTTTCTTTCGTCATCATGAAACTTCTTGAAAGCGGCTTAAGTGGATGCTACGGTGCCTAGAAAAGCTGCGCTGGGCCGGGCTTCTATTAAAAAAAAAAAAGGCTGATAATTTCCAATATAAGCGAAAACCAAAATAAATGTGATGTAATCGTGAGCTTGGAAATTCAGCCATTCGCAAGTTTCGAAGTTGAACGATGCACCCTGAAGTTGTAAATGAAAAGAATATTGAGTGAATTTTATCAATTAGCTGCTTAAAGATTATAGTTTATAAAGGGTGTTATCCGCCCCTTTGAGAAAGCCATCCCTAAAGGCAGTGCAGCGCTGTCTGTATTAGGTAATTTCTACGAACTAAGTTCAACCTAAAAAGAATAAAAAGGTTACTAAATCTGCAAAACTACACTATTAAATTTTACACATTACCGTGTTGTGTACAAATTTTATGCTTCATGCGGGCATTATCTTTGTCATGAACATGCAACTTTCTCTCACAATGTACACGCGTTAGGCTTATCCCCAATAAGCATCAACGTGCAAAGAAGCACGCTTTACAGGCGCAGGCATTTTTCTGACAGTTCACGCGAAATTACACAATGAATCTCTAACCAAAGTCAACTTTTAGGTGCGGGGTGCTTTAGGGATTAATCTGACGTATGCTGTCATCGTTGTATGCTGTCCTAGATTTGGCATACCACATGTAACAGTACATATATCCTAGCTGTTTGAGTGCGCGCTGATGCTAAAGAGAAGTAAGTATTCTTCCTCTTATTCTTCGTATGCCTTGAGGATGATATAAAGAGAAAAAGAAACAGGGAAAAACACATTGGAAAGGAGAAAAACAAAGAAAAAGAGAAAAGAAAGGGAAAAACGAAGAAAAACAAAGAAGCATGCCCAGCTACGCACTACCTTCAGTCTTTGCATCGCTAGGGATAAGCTGCCTTTTAATACGTAGTGTTATGCCTAATAATTTACACCACGGCTTAATTGATAAACATTCCGCATTGCTTGCATGATATTCTCACGTTGTTTTCTAATCGCAAACATATTGCTGGTGGCAGCACACAAACGTCAGATTCGTGCCACCCAACAAATTACAGGGATACGTAATTCAGCATTACCCAAATTTGATGTGCCAAAACCCCGATATGATTAGGAGACCCATCGTATAGCGGAAACATTGATAGGTATGCGAGCTAACAAAATTATTTTATTAATGTTTCTAATGAGCGCAATTAATATGTCTGTATTGTACATGTGGTGCTTATTATTTTAGGTAAAACATGATTTGCCAACGTTTTATTTCTTGTCCGCTAAGATGGCCGTGGTTAAATACGGCAGGCGCATGCTTGATTTTGCAATCTAGCACTGTGTATCATGCACTTATTCGACTGGCGTGACTGGATCTCAATGTCGGAGTTTTGGCTCGAAACTCGGTGTTATAGTGCACCCTGGACGATAGTAGTGCCGAAGTCAGCCAGTTCAATAAGTTAAAAAAATAAACCTCACCTAATTGTTGAGTAAACTATGTTCTTAAAAGCATGAAATGGGAAGTTAGAATGCCATATATAGTTTTTCAAGCAGTGGGCGTACTTACGCTGCCTTTTTTCGTAACAAGTTAACTGTTAATCTTCGAAAATGATGGCTTGCGAATAAGCGACATAATGCTACGTCAAATCTCAAATCTCTAAACTGGAGACGCTTTTGTTATATTGCCAAATGTAAGTATAAATGGGATATCATACTGTATTTAAAAAGTAGTTTTCTAAAAAAAATATCAGTCAACATTGAAACATATGTAGTTGTGGTGTGTTCAGCACTGAAAATGATGCTTCAAGAAGGAATTGTCACCCGTGTAAGCAATATATTTGGCAAAGAAACTAGTGCTCGTTCTTTGTTACTCGTGGAAAGCAGGATAGGCATCCCACATCGCCATTTCACTGCCATACGGATGCGTTTAAGTTCGCTACAAGCTTTCTCAACTTTTAATTTTTTTTTCTGCGTTCGCTGCTGCATTCAAGTGTCTAGTTCAATGCACATTTATTTATTTATTTATTTAGCTTTTTTCAAATGCACTTCACAGATGTAAACTGTATGCAATCTACCAAAAAGCAGTTAGAATCGAAATGGTAGCAGTTCCAGCTCCATGACATGATCTCGAGACAAAGGGTTCGGTTCCTTGCCACAGTGGTTGCATTTAGATAAGGTACAAATGTAGAAACGCTAGTATATTTAAATTTAGGTGCATCTTAAGGAACCCCGGGTGGTTAAAATAATTCTGTAGCCCCACACTACAGTGTTCCTCATATTGATTAAGGTTGTTGTTCTAGTGCGCAAAACTACACATTGTATTAAAAGATACATTGTTCATTCTAACCAAGGGGCCTCGATGAAAGCTGTGCGATATGACCAGTCCTGCATTTTACAGTGATTGATTATGCATTCTATTTCACCTACGGTGACGCGTGAGTAGTGGTTGCAACGTTAATTCAGACAGGAGTGACTGTGCAAAATAGTTTTTCTTAATCACTTTGCCTGCGCATGCTCTCTTTCTTCCTTCTGTTTGAAAAAAAAAAGCTGCAAAAGAGTATCATGGGTGATGTCGTAGCTGAGCGTATCCTGTAAAAGAGTGAGAGAGAGAGAGAAATATGCCTTGCCGGACGAAAACGCAGGTAAGGGAAGCACCGCAATGCGCTTTATACTATGAACAGTAATTCCAAGCTAACTTTAATCGCAAAAAGTGCTACAGATCTCAAGATGCTTGGTATAACTTCACTCGATGCTCTCGCTGCAATTGCAAGACTAGCAGTTTAGTATTTAATATTTTTCTTTTTTTTCGTGAAGGTTCTTAGAGGCACCCAAAATTCAGCGCAGCGTTAGACATCGCGAAAGCAGCTGCGCAGAAATACGCCACACGCGAAGCATTTTTTCTGACAAATCTTTACACACACCACCACACACACCACACCACACACAACACACACACACACACCACACACACACACACACACATCACACACACACACACACACACACACCACACACACACACACACACACACACACACACCCACCACCACGCACCTCACACCCCACACACACACCCACGCACGCACACACGCACAC